ACTTAAGTGATCTGTGAGGGTGTTTTTGGTATTTCGCCACTGACGTATTGGACTTATGACTATTTGAGATGCTTTTGGAACCATAGAAAGAAACTTTTCGACTGGAGAGTAAAATCACGATCAAGAATTGAGGGATCAAGAGAAAATGCAGAACTGAAGATTTTCATGTGCGGGAGAAATTGAAGATCAAATTAATCCAAAAATATTGTAATGTTTAATCGAATTTAATTTGAATATCATGAGTAGCTAAACCCCCAATGCTAGGGGGTGTCCCTGAATTGCTTTTGTAATGACCTTGATTTCCTTTATTTTATGACATAAGTGCTTTTTCATAATCAATTTTTTTACTGTACAATGTGTTTAATGCTTTTTCTATTGGACAAATAGAAATTGATTTACGGTTAACTTTTAGGTCGGACAAACCACCGCTAATGTTTTTTGTGCGATAATACTATAATAGAAATCACCTAAGACTAGGGATACCCCGTAGTAACCGTAACATTCTTGATAAAATATAATGCTTGATTTCATCCTAAATCTCTAAGGACTTAAGGTTTAGGATGAATATCAAAGGTTTTTCTTTCTAAGGCCTTGAGGAAAAATACAATTGAGAATCGGTAAAGGTTTATTTTGAGCCATGTCTCGTAAATAAGGATTAAGGTTGTTGCAAAACAACTCATATACCGTGCCCTAGCATGCTTCTCATATCTGTTAAAAACTCAAGTTTATTATTTTGCTTTATTTTCTTACTATTAGTTTATAATTTCACTAAACAAACCCAAACCCCCCAAGTACTTTTTGTTTAATTGAACTACTACGAAACTCATATTCATACGCACTCCTCGAGATCGATACTGGGGATAAACCCCTATTTTAACTACAGATGGCAAAAATAGTACACTTTCTATTTTTTCGATCAACAATTCAGCTTGAGCATCATATTCTAGATGGTAGGTTGTGGCAACCTAGTTTTTCACACCATACTTGGCGAATAAATCCTCAAATAATTTTTTATACAGATGAGTTCTATCATAACTAGTTATTGCTTTAGAGAAGTCAAATATCGTGAAAATATTATTTTATTAAAAACTTGATTACCACCTTAACATCATTTGTTGGTGATGTCATGACTTTTATCCACTCTGACACATAACTAACAACTACAAGAATTTAAATATTACCAAAATATTTGGGAAATGGTCTCATGAAATCAATATCCCACACATCAAACATTTTAATTTCTAAAATACTAGTTAATGAAATTTTTTGTTTCATAAAGATAGTATCTACTCTTTGACATCTATCACACATTTTAGCAAATTCATGGACATCTTTGAATAATTAAGAACAAAAATATTCAGATTACAATACATCAGATCATGTTCTAGAATTTAAAATTTCAACCATAAGGTGATGAATGATTAGATGATAGGATATGACTCGTATCTTCCTCGACAATACACTTCCTTAGAAATTGGTGAGCATACTTATTGTATATAACAAGTACATCCCAAAAATAACTTTTAGAATTTTGGAAAAATGTCTTCCTTTGTTATGAATTGAATTCAAGGAGCATGTTCCCACTAACCAGATAATTGACACTGATAACATACTAAAGTGTTATGACACCTGACAACACCAAAAATTGTTCATCATGAAATTCCTTGATGATGTATAATGTGTCATGAATCTTTACTTTATGTAAACTATATGTGTTATGCATCATATGATGTAAGGGATTATAAAGATCCATTTATCCTTGAGTTTTTATGATTCTTTAGGAAAACAAAGGAGTTGGTCTCTCTTCAACAAATATTTTGGATGAATTGGATCTAGAGGCGTTCAGCTTTAATTTTGTTCTTTACCTCTTTTGCAAAAACCTTTGTCTCTTGAATGAATATTTTTCAATATATCTCCCAACTATTTGCTCCCACTAATTTGCAACATCCTTATTAGGTGCAGAGAAACTATAAGGTACTTAGGGCTTTAATTGATTTTGCATGTTTGCCCACGATAATTTCATGTGATTCCTCCATCATGGGTTGTAGATATTGATATATGAGTAATTGTACTTTGAAGTTTTTACACATATAGTTTACATAAACATGATTTGCATAGTAATCCTCAAACAAGTGTGCACCCTACAATAAACACATGTCATGTATCCTAAATTTGTCACGATATTATCTGGTTCAATAATTGACACGAATGTGGCTTCATAAGTGTCATCATCATGCTCTGAATTTGGGGCACATTAGAAGTAAAAGCACTTGTCTTATTGACTTCATAAACTCCAATCGACCTTTTTGCTAGAAATAAAAGGTTAAGATTTTGTTGTTGGCCATTTTTAGGTATTTGTTGTGATACTTTGAATAAATTCAAAACCTTCAATGTAAGACTTAGATAATAAAACTTTGTCAAAGGATGCATTCAACATGTTTCTTAAAGATGCCATTAAAACATTGTAGAAAATCTTCAATTGTATAAAAATTGAAATACCATGATGGGACATTGTCTCGTTAGCTCCATGAATATTTCTCAAACATCAAATAAAGATTCATTTTTCCTTTGTTAAAATGAAAATTTTAATTATTCTAAATTTGGTATTCTAGACAAGGGAAATACTTGGCTAAAAAAGTTCCATCCAAATCATTTCACGGGAATTTGGAGTTTGATTCTAAGGAGTTTAGTCAACTCTTAGCACGGTACCTTACAGAGTAATGGAATAATATGAGCCTAAATGTTATCCTAAGAATTTTAAAATTGCTCATAAATTCAAGGAATTGCTTCAATCGAATATGAGAATTATCTGGCGTGGCACCTAACTATATTTAATAGCGTCTAACATTTGGATTGTCATAGGCTTTAGTTCAAATTAAGCGATTAGGATCTCTAGTCTTATGATACTATTATTCATGTCATTAGGATCGAAAATTTCATAACATACGATAATTCATGCTTAGTGGCAATACCAATGATATCTTTATTAATCACGGCTTCTTCTTTTTATCTTCAACTTCTACTTTATCTTGCTCTAGTTCAAGAAGAGAGGTTCCAAACAAAAGACGAGCTTGTTGAAATCTCCTCAAAATTCTAAATTTCCTTTCTTGCTCTAGATCTCCTCTATGTTATGGGAAAATCAACGTGTATATGCATAAGTTATATGGATAATAATGGACAAGATACTATAGTATTCGTCCCCAAACCCGTAAATTAAAAAAATCTTCGTACTCGAACCATACCCGCGTGGGCATCATTGTTTTTACCCGTATTCGTACTCTATTGGTACCTAAGTACTCATACCCATACCAATTTACTTATATTTTAAATTAAAAAATGGTCGATCAACTATAATTTATCACGTCATTTTAATTTTTTAACAATATTGAAACAAAATTGAGGATGTTATTGTTAAGTTAAGAAACAAACATTTATATTAAAATGCATAGAAATTTAATAGAGATGTATTTAATAAAATTGTTAGAATAACATATGTGCATAATAATGAAAATAAAAATATATAAATATATATTGTGCGGGTATGAAGCGGACTGGGTATTAAGATATTTGTACTCACACCTATACCCGTTTATTTTAGCAAGCAATTGCATGTGCCCGTGCTTGTGTCCATTTTGCGGATTTTACCTTACCCGTTGTCGGTAAATTTTCCGGATATCTATATGATGGGTACAATTTTCATTAGGGATGACAATGGGCATGATTTGGATAGGGAACTATAGTATCCGTCCTCAACCCACAATTTAAAAAAAATCACCGTACCCGAGCTCATATTCACATAGACGTCAACGTTTGTACTCGTACTCGTACCCTATGGATATATAAGTACCCATACATATACTCATTTACCCGCATTTCTAATAAAAATAATCGATCAATTATAATTTATCATATCATTTTATTTTTTTAACAACATTTAAAAGAATTTGAGAATCTAATTGTTGAGTTAAGAAATAAACAAACATTTATATTTAAATACATAAAATTTTAATGGTGATGTATTTAATAAAAATGTTAGATTAACATATGTACATAATAATAAACACAAATATATATAAATATATATTGTGCAGGTATAGGCGGACTGAGTACTAAGATACATGTACCTGCATCCATATCCGTTTATTTTATTGGGTAATTTCTCATATCCATACTCATATCCATTTTGCGGATTTCTACCTTGTCTTTTGTGAATAAGTTTTGCGAATATCCACGGAAGATAGATACAACTATTAAAATAACATAGGGTCATTATTTGTCATACCACATGTACAATTACAAATTTAACGTTTTTGTTAAATTTTTAATAGAAATGACTAAATTGAAAATATATTTATAATATTTAAAAAGTAACATTTATTAATAGAAACCCATAAGAAACATAATAAAGTTAAAGAACTAAAATAAGAAGAAAAAAAAATGGAAATCTCAATTGAAGCATGTACTATCTTTTCGTAACTTGTGTGGACAAAGTGTTGTCATCTGTGTGGCAGAGGAAGTAAGACAATACTTTTTCTGTCCTAAATTATAAGACGTTTTAATCATTTCACACTAATTAAAAAACTTAATTATTATTTTATAAAAAAGATAAATTATGTATGATTTTATAGTAATATCTCTCATAATTATATAGGAGAGAAAAATTAAAATAGTGAAAAGAATAAATAATAATAAATACTTGAGGGTATATTTTGAAAAATGTCATTAATATTACATTGAAAATGTAAGGTGACTTATAATTAGAAACAATTTTTTTTGACAAAGTGATTTATAATTTGAGACAGAGGAAGTACAACAAAGGCATGATAATTTCATTTGCTCTATACTTCGATTGGTGAGGGAGTTGTCAAATTTACACACACCAAGTATATACCTGACTAACAGTAATGACTTACAACTTCAAACAAGCACCAAACTCTTACACAAGCATTTGAGAAAAAAGTAGCTGACAAGTGCACGCAATAGTTGGTCAATGAACACAGTCAAGTGGAAACCCTAGGTTGCTTGCACCCGTGCTCCGGTAAGAGGTTACCAGCTGCAGCTCTTTTTGGTTTCAACTGCAATGAAAAATAGCCATATGCAGCAATTAGACCCTTTCATGGACATGATTTGTGCCTAACTCAACCTTACAAAATCGACTTGAAAGGTGGAGACTGCTTTAACTTATAAACGCATATTCACGCCATATATTATCTTACGTGAGACTCTTAACTTTCAAAACTAACCTTTTCCCGAGCATGTTGATAAATGTGCCTTAGGAGGATATTTTTGGCTTCAGTTTTTATCACTGCCAAAAGAATTTTGCAAAGGTGAGAAAGCAAAACCTCAGTTACCAAATCCCAAATAAATCAAAAGAATTAACGTGACAAAAAATTGGCGGCATACAGCAGCATAAAAAAAAAGAAGAAAACTACAAGGGCAGCTAATAGGGTAGGTTTGATTTAAGGAAACATTGTCTGTTTTGAATTATTTTGGTCCAAATAATGATTTAGGGGAAAAGGAAACATTGTCTGTTTTAAATTTTCAAATCAGCGAAACGTTACACCAGAAGTGGAAGAAGGTTCTTGGGGCTACCTTGATCGGGCGGTGGAAGGGTCCTGCTGTGAGTAGGATGGTAAGTAGGTGGTGTCTTCTGCATGAAAATAGAAGTTTCATTTCAGCAAAGATATAAAATGAATCCAAAGATCTTAATTTGCAAAAGCTCACAGCTCATATATTGGTAATAATAGCATTTGCTAGTAATATGTCAAGCAAATCTATAGAAAAGACAATATCAACTATAATCATCAGATCATAAAATCTAAAAACAACCAATTTTGTGGCAGGGTATCATGGAGACTGGTATCACTGAAAGCCGTGGAGAGATTTTTTTTATCGACAGAAAAGAAAATTAAGTATAATTCTAGTTTGTCAACTAACTAGCCCAAAAGGAAGAATTAGGAATTTTTCTAATAGGGGATCGGAATGCTTTTCCTGGAAGATGGAAAATTTGTCCACCAGAAAATAGAAGCAAATCTCTACTGTTATTGAAGAATTTATCTCTCTACTGTTATTGAAGAATTTATGTAAGCAACAATATTGGAAAAGAAAGCCAAATTTTAACATCTTTAGAGTGAAATGAGAAGAAACTAAGGAAAGAAATACCATTCCATGCTTGAAAAGTTTTAAGTTTTCAATTCGTTTAAGGTTATTTTGACAAATAGTTAAGTGTGTGTTTGGTTATGCTGGGAAGAAAATTAATTTTCAGTGAATTGATTGTGGCTAAAAGTGAGTCGAAGGTAAAGTGATTTATGTTTGGATAAATTCTTGCAAAATTGAGTTGAACAAAATATTCCAGTGTAAAAATCACATTTAGCCTCAAAAGTTACATATCCTAATTTCAAGTAGAATCAATTCTGAAAAGCAAAATCAATTCTACTCGAGAGTAAACAAACATGTTAGAATTGATTCAACACATCTAGAATCAATTATGAATGCTTCAAACATAAAACCAAACATATGCTAAGCTATTACAATGAAAATGATATCTTCCTAGAGACAATGATACATATAACAAGAATGCTAATGATTTCCACCTCGGGCGAACAACTGCACCACATTTTTATTATGTTATGAGCTATGATCATCCAAGTACCTTGGAAAAACCTTAAAATAAAGAAATGTTCTCAAAATTGAATGGTGTGATTCAATTATGTAGTATATTAAAAAAAACAGCAAGGGAAGCAAAAGCAATGTTGTTTATTATGGATTGCAGAAAATAGTTGTTTGTTCAAATTCTGCTATGCAACAGAGCTATAGTGTAACTACTTAACAACATTTTATATTAAATATCATATAAATGGACAATAGCAATTTGTTCAAATTATGCTGTGTGCGCTATAGCCGCTATTTAACAACACCGAGCAAAAGAGATAAGAATAAGAGTATTACTATGCACGTGTATTACTAGGTTAATGCTAACTCTTAACAAACTAAAAGAAGGCCTGATCTTGCCGGCTAGCAACTAAAATTTGTACTAAAGGGAAAAGGGGATTGGTAGTAAAATAAGGCAAATCTCAATTCACTGAACACTCAATCGGGGTAAATATAAACATATCGAAGAAAACCGAAAAACACAGGAACGGATCTACCTAATCAGAATGATACAGCATAAATTTGCAAACTTGAATAAGCTCTGTCAGGATTTTCAGATAACTACAGTTTTATATACTTCAGTAAAAGAAAAACAACAACTTACAGACGAACTAGAAGGATCTGAAGGTCGAATCTGACTGAAATTGTGAGGGTTATAAGATGGCAAATTACCAAGCACAGAATCCATATAGTGGTACCTATTTGCTCCAAATTTCAAAAGGCACAAAACAAATCAAAAGACTCATAATTTTTATTATATAATCTGAATTGGAGAATTTTTCATATTAAAAATAAAAGAATATAGAAAATCCTCTAAATTTATAGAGAGATTGAACTAGAACATCGCCAAGAAAATTCACAACAATAATCTACAAAGAGTAATGTTCCAACAAATTGCAAAAAGAAATCATGAATTTCAGATGAAATTACCTTTAAGTACTAATTATCAGCACTTGTGATATTAGTTTTTGAGATCTCTCTGGAAATTTTCCAGAAATAAGAAAAAGATGAAAATTGAGTTTGTCTCAGCCAGCTATGTAAGTTACCGCTACTAGTCTCATTGGGTTTTATTCATACTACGCAGTTCAACAAGAGAAAAACACTTGACTACATAAAGACTAAAGTATCCCTCCCGCGGTAGTAGTAATGATAAGTCCAACACAGAATTTTTTTTTTATGTTGCAATTTTTTCTTGTTATATTTTTATTTTTCTGGTTTAATTGTAATTTTAGTCTTTTATTTAATATTTTTTGGATATTTATTTTCCTATTTTAAAATTTAGTTTTTTAATTTTTTTTTTTTAATTTTGTTCGTAATTCTAGTCCCTTTATCAATTTGAAACAAATTCATAATGGCGTGGCGCTAATACGGATAGTGATGATGTATGGCAATGGGCAATGATTAAATTAAAATTCATGTAATTTTAATTATTATTAATAATAAAATTTTATTAATATTAATTATAAAAGTAATAAAATTATTTTATTCTTTTTCTAACTAAACACAAATAAACATGGTACTCTACCGTAAAAATTAACATGAAAATTTATCTTCTCTTCTCAATTAACTTACTTGAAAAGCTCTAACAAAATCAACTTATGTGAAAAACTCCAACAACATCAAATCAAGAGATTGGAGAAAAATTTTAAAAAAAATTATTTAAGCAATTTCAATTTCTTATTGATACACTTGGGATGCAATTAAGAATATTTATAGAACCCTAAAGTATTCATCTTGGGATTCCGCTGAGCAAGAACTTGAAAATCTCCCTTTGAAATGAGACTGTGAAAAACTCGTTTGCAAGATTTGGTAACCAAGAACACGTTTGGAGATTGAAGTATTAAATTGACAAGTTATTATTATTATTATTAGACTTAATTCATCTTTTAGTTCCCTCACTTAATTTGATGTTTTGCTTTAGTCTCTTATCTAAAAAGTGTTACAAGTTAGTCCTTAAAACACTTATGTTAGTCGATTTGGTCCTTTCCGACAAATTTTGTCAAAAATCGATAATTTTTACCTATGTGACAATCTAGTTGGATTTATTTTTATCTATGTGGTTTTTTTTTTTTGAAACTATTATATATGTGGCTTTATTGGCCTTCTCTATTATCTAGGCATGCCTCTCTTTCTATCCTTTCTTCCCAAAACTCACCTTCTTCTCCTTAGAAATTCTCTTTTCTCCATTTTTATCCTTTCTCTATTTCTAACAAGTCAATAATGCTTCTTTTACTGTCGATAGAGTTTTGGTTGATTCCTACTTGAGTATGTTCTCTCTTTGTTGAAATACAAGAGACTAAGAGACATATGAATAAATTGTTTGTTTTGAAAAGCACTATGGAGACATTATTATATATAAATAGATTACAACTAATTGCATGATATAATCAACGTGGGACTATTCTATATACAAATATTCTCAACACTCCCCCTCAAGCTTGAGCATATAAGTCAAATGCACCAAGCTTGTTACATATATAGTTAGTTTTGGGACTTCGTAGAGATTTTATAAACACATCTGCCAATTAATCATTAGAGTTGACAAAGCTTGTGACGATGTCGTTTGACTCAATCTTCTCTCTAACAAAGTGACAGTCTATCTCAATATGTTTGGTCCTCTCATGGAAGACTAGATTTAAAGCAATATGAAATGCAACTTGATTATCACAAATAAGTGTCATTGGTCTTTCTTCTTCAATTTGAAGTTCCTTAAGCAACTGTTTTAACCAAATAAGTTCACATGTTGTCGTTATCATGGCCATATACTCTGCCTCGGTGCTTGATCTTGCAACTACATTTTGTTTCTTACTTTTCCAGGATATAAGGTTTCCTCCAACAAGTACACAATACCCAGAGGTGGATCGTCTATCAATGGGTGACCCTGCCTAATCAGCATCAGAGTATCCAATTATCTGGGTATGTCTTTTATCCTCATACACAAGACCTTTTCCTGGGGCGCATTTGATGTATCTCAAAATCTGGATAACAACATCAATGTGTTCATGACAAGGGGAATTTAAGAACTGACTTACCACACTGACTGCAAAAGAAATGTCCGGACGAGTGACTGTGAGATAATTCAACTTTCCAACCAATCTTCTATACCTTCTTGAGTCAGATAGATGCTCCCCCTGATTGGGTAGTAGTTTAACACTTGGATCCATAAGATTATCGACTAATTTAGCATTTAACAAACCTATTTCTTCCAAAATATCCATAGTCTATTTCCGCTGAGAAATCACCAAACCATCTTTAGATTGGGCTACTTCAATACCCAAGAAATGATGGAGTTTACCAAGATCTTTTGTCTGAAATTGTTTCGAGAGATGTTGTTTCAACTAAAGTATTCCCTGCTGATCACTACTAGTTATGACAATGTCATCTACATACACAATAAGATAAATACACCCTTGGGTGAGTGACGATAAAAAAACAGAATGATTAGCTTCACTATGGATCATACCAAACTGTTGTACTACAATGCTGAATTTTCCAGACTAAGCTCTCGGAGATTTCTTAAGACCATAAAGAGACTTGTGTAGCCTACAAACCATATTCGATGACTCCCCCTGAGCAACAAACTCAGATGGTTGCTCCATATATACTTCCTCTTTAAGATCACCATGTAAGAATGCATTTTTGATGTCAAGTTGATGAAGAGGCCAATGTCGAATGGCTGCAATAGCTAGAAGAAGTCGAACAGGTGCCATCTTAGCTACAGGCGAAAAGGTATCACTATAATCTAACCCAAAAATTTGAGTGTATCCTTTGGCTACCAAGCGAGCTTTAAATCGACCAATCTTGCCATCTAGACCAACCTTCACTGTATAAAGCCAACGACAACCTACTAAATATTTCTCATGGGGTAGAGGAACCAGTTCCCAGGTACCACAGCTTTGAAGAGCACACATTTCTACAATCATTGTTGGCCTCCACTCAGGGTGAGATAATGCTTCACCTGGAGTTTTAGGAATACAAACAGAAGACAAAGAAGATAAACAAGTATACTGCAAAGGGGAAAGATGATGATAACATAAATCAATATAATATGGAGAAGGGCAACCGAAAGATCAGACTCAGGTTGTAGGATCGAATCCGATGATGGCGAGAGCGTCGGAGGAGAGTTCGTAGTGACCTCAGGGACAAGTACGACTTCAGGGACAGGTACGACTTCAGGGTCAGATACGACAGACTTTGGGTGACAGCGCTGATATGTTTAAAATGGGCGAGGAGTGAGAGGGTCAACCGTAGGGGTAACTAGTGGGTACGAATAGTACACCAAATTGAGTTTTTATTTCTCGATAAAATTGTTCAAAAATGGAAAACAATTTAGACTTGTTCTTCATTAAAAATAGTCATATTCAACGTGAAAAATCATCAATAAAGGTTACAAAATACCTAGACTTAAAAGTAGACACGGTACGTGAGGGACCCTAAACATCGGAGTGAACTAATGCAAAAGGGGACGCAACCCGTTTATTGACTCGATCGGAAAAGTGACTACGAGTATGTTTCTCTAACTGACAAGACTCACAATGTAAAGTGGATAATTTAGATAAACTGGGCACCAACTGTTGTAGTTTAGGAAGACCTGGATGACCTAACTGCGAATGTATAATGAGTGGAGAATTTATGGTGGAGCATGTGGTAGATGATGTAGAGAAGTAGTAGAGGCCTTGAGACTCACATCCGACGTCAATTGTCTGTCCCAAACTCCAATCCTGCAGAGTAACATTACTATTATTAAAGGTGATAGAACAATTAAGGGAACAAGTTAAACGACTGACTGACAGTAAATTAAATGGGCAATTAGGTACATAAAGGACAAAAGTAACAGAGAAATATGGTAAAATTTAAACAGTACCAATCCCTTGGGATCAGGTTTGAGAACCATTTGCGACAGTTATAATAGGCAAGAAACCAGAGGTAGAGAGGAAGAAAAAAGACCTTTATTACCAGTAACATGATCAGACGCACCAGAATTAAGGACCCAAGGACCAAGAGGAGATGATTTAGATAAGCAAACAGATGAATTACCAGTGTGTGCAACCGAAGCAGTGGAACTAGATATCTGATTAGTTTGACACCACCTGAGAAAATCTTCGTAGCTTCGCGTAGGGTTCTGAATAGAAGGTGAAGTCTGCATAGTTTCTGAGTTATCACTTTGAGCTGCATTTACCTGGTGTGGAGGTTTGCCATGTAGCTTCCAACAACGGTCGATAGTATGTCCAAGCCGATTACAACGGTCACACTTGGGACGAGGTTTGGAGTTGGATGACCCACCTCGAGGGCGATTCTGATTGTTGCCAAGAGATGCGAGGGCAGCAGTGTCACTTGGTGTTGGAGCAAAAGTAGATGGAAGGGAAACCGGACCAAACGCATGAGGTATAGCCAAGCGCAACAATTGTTCACTAACTGCATCCTAGTGAGGAACAGCAGTACCTGATAAAATATGGTTACGAATGGAGTCGAGTTCAGATGGTAGTCCTTTAAGTGCCATGACCTTGAAAAATTAACTTTGTTGTTCGGCATAAGCTGTTGCGTCTTTTGCGTATGACATGAGGGTTGCGTAACTTGATTTTAAGGCATCAAGCTTACTCAGATAGGTTTGCATATCTATATTTTTCCATTTTCAGTGTGTCGAGTTTGAGGATGACATTGTATAGACAATAAACATCGTTGGAGAAG